ATAAGTTACTGAATAAACGCGAACTACAGCTTTACATTTATTTATAAGTAATTACTTTTTCAATTGGGTACCGTACGTACTCTAATTCTTCAAAATAATATAAAAATGCAACAACAACATACAGACATACACGACACTCCTTTAAATTTAAAAAATATTACGTGCTGCCATCTCTCGGACATTTATTAATATAATTATTTATCCGTAAATATTTAATTATTTTCTTATCTATTTATTAGTTTTATTTTAATTATTCAAAATAAACTAAAATAAATAAAAAGCTAACTACAAATTACTAAAAAATATTTGTCAATAATTTTAAATTAACGGTTTACGTAACGATTTATTTTATTCATAGGAAGCGCTGCAAGCAACAAATTCTTTATGCCAAATTCTATTATAAAAATTTACCAAAATATCGCCAAAAAAAATAAATAAATATTTTTTTTTGTTTTTTTTTTATAGATACGTATTTTACGATAGCGAATATCCGCAGTTAAAACCACTTTAGTAATAAAATAGGCTATAATGCATTTTGGCAACAGAAGTGATGTTTCGAGTCGATAATAAAAATTTCTGCTTCCTCCTCACGTTCGTACTTCGTTACCAAGTAGACAAACTATTTATCATAAGTTAAAAGTTTTTCAAAGTAGTATAAAAATCTATAGATAAAAGTAAAATTCTCCATCCATCCCGCCTATCCAGTTAAAAATGGAAAAAAAAGTGGCACGCGATGAATACACATGAAAGCGATACAACACTAATTAACTGTCCTAGTAGACGAGACGATTGTCACATGTTTGTTTTACATTTTAAAAAAAATACTATTCAAAGAATACAATTATTAAAATATATAAAGTGTCATTTATATTCCTAATTCAATTCGGATAATTAAAACGAAAAATATATCGTGCGATAGTCTATTCATTATAATCATTTTTTTAAATATAATACATATATATATATATCTTTCTCTATTCATAAATATTCATTTCCAAGAAATATTTGGCCTACTTACATACATACGTGCGATTTGTTTTTTTTTTTTTCCTTTTTAAAATTGGTTTATCGGGAATCACGCAAACTCTAAAAAAACGAATTTTGACAGGGGCCACAATTAAATATATCATCATTTTGTCTATATAATTTCCAAGAATTTACTGGAATATAACTCCATCAACGTTATTTACAAACATTTTTTACAACCGCAAATTACGATAGCGTGCGCCATTTATTAAACGAATTCTCTCTCTCTATTGACTCTATAAAATGCATTTTTATAGCTTTATTAATGTGTTTAAATAAAATATTTTAGAAATAAAAATGTAATTGCTGTTTTTCTTTCTTTTTTTTTTCTTTTTTAATAGAATTATTATGACTCTGTCGGAATTTTTCACCAACTCCGTTTCGAAATTTCGTGCGTGTTTATCTAGTTTTGTCATCCATCTTGATTTTAAAACGATATCGATTTATATTTGCATATATCTGCGCTGTTCCGAGACACGATAAATCATCCGCTATATTATTGTAGAGATTACAACTATTGATAATGTATTTTGATGATTTTAATACATTGTTAAGATCAGCCGCCGCCGCCGCCGCCATGTTTAACGCGCGCGTATTGATAGAGACCGAGAATAAAAGACTAAATTTATCAGCACCTGATCAATACCCGAAATACATAATATTCATAAAAGCTATTTTTAGTAATTGGCGCTGAGTTTCTTTTATAATATATTAAAAATTTTATTTAAAAAAAAAATCTAGCTGTGGCTACGCGCCACTCCATAGAAAACAGCTGCAGAAACACGAAAAATGTTGGTCTTTCTACGAATTCGCAATGATAAATCAATTATTGATATCTTTAAGAATTGATGACGAAGATTTCTTCGAAGTAATCGCTCAAATTTATCTACAAGAGCTGAGCAGGTGTAACGGAGAGCACTTTTTTTACTATCATCTTTATTGAGAAACGATGCCAAAACTTAGAAGGGAGGGGGAAAAAAACGGATCGCGTGCCATCCACAATAAGCATCCACACCATACAGTTACCGATCTACATGAGTTTTACATAAAGTTTGCGTGGATCGCTCATCCATTCCTCACACTTGAGAAAAATAATTGAGTAGCAATCTTATCAATATGGCGGCGGATAACCGGTACGGCGCATCTTCCTCCTCCTCCTCAATTAATCTGTATTGATTTATATACTCATTTACGTGAATTTCACGTGATAATTGAAACACTCGAGTTTATCGGAATTTACTTCCGTTCCGAAAAAGAACGGGCGGTTTAAGTAATGCCTCTGTAGTTCTTTCGAATGGCGGGCGCGCCTTAAAATATTCATTTAACGATTATATAAATCGATAACGTCTATTTTTGTCAGAAATTCCGTCCGCGTGTTAACCGAATCGGGATTTATAGATAATTAATTAAGTTCAAATCCACGAATGGGAAGTCGAGACACAAGAAATATGGATGAACCGTAATATTATCATTATCCGGAACGGATTAAATGACTGTAAGAAAAATGGAATTCCGTCACACGTGACCGTTTAAGGACGTAACTAAGGCAACGGAACGAAACAAAACTCTAGATAAAATCTGAAAGAACCTTTACTAATTGTGAAACAAATGCGATCTGTTTGACTAACAAACATTAAAACTCGACTTCCCATTATAAACTTCCAGACACACATCAGCACAGATGTTATTATTAACGATAAAGCTGTAAATTGTTCTATTTTTTTCTAGCTAAATTAAAATAATAATTTACACATTTATAAATGTCAGTCTTGCAAATAATCTATAAAATCTAACTGTTATACATTTTATAAAAATTAATTTTTTTTAAAATTTATTATGAACTAAAGTAACATTTAATATTTGGTATTTTGCATCGGTTACCATCCGCCATATTTAAAAGATAAGCGGCAGAATCTATTTTCGCGTATTAATAAAAATGGCGAAGGAATGACGAGTTGTTTCGTTTCTGTGCTATTTTCTTTTATTAAAAGCGAGTGTTTTTTTTTTTAAATTCCCTTTATTTACCTTATATAAATTAGTTTTTTGGAATTGTTTGGATGAAGTAAATTTTTTAGCTTAATTGGTTTTAACTACGTGGGAAGCTTCGTTAATTGAAATTGTCCTACATTCTCGTCCACCCACGCGAAAAGAAATCAATAAATCCTCCCTCCAAGCGTTTTACTTCAATCGAATTCTCCCTTCATCGACCTTCTCGATAGCTAAAGGTTAGAATTGTCTACAGTTTTTTCAATTGGTACATAAAATATTCCACAGAAAATTCACTTTCTATATTGTTTAATGTGTCCCAGACGGGCAAACAATGGAGCAAAGTTATGCCACCGTTTACTGAAAAAAAAAAAAGTGCTAGAAATATGACAATTATTTTTATAATTTAGAGATTCTCAAATTATAAATTGAAAGGCCAGAATGTCATTGGCTTCGAAATTAGTTTGTTAGAGCGTGAAACGAAATCTGAATTAATCATCTCATCTGCGTTAATAGTTATAAAACTAGGACATTCCAAGACTCTCTAGGTGCAGGCACTATCAGGATCTCCGCCATCTTGTTGCACGCCGCGTCAACTCTGTAATAGAGCAACCCGCTGATTAATTAATATGCAAGGAAATTACCGCCCAAAACTCCTCACTAACAGTCGTCGTGTCAACATTTAAGTGGTTCTAATTTATTGTAAAACGAATAAAAATAGCATTTTTTTAAAAGAGGAATGCTAAATGCAGCCATTCTTAGTGACACGATCGCAAATCGAACCTCACCCTGTTTTCCTATTCAGATAATAACTAGATCATCCTGCCATGTTCGAAGGAAATCTATGCGAGAATACTTCCGGTTCGTCGTGTCTATATATATATTGATCGATCCTTCAATACGTCGCGTAATTAATGCATAAAGCACTTGTACCTATCGATCGTAGTCTTACGCGATGTGATGATTACGCTACCTCTAACTCTTTCGACGTACGAGACGTTTAAGATTCGCAACGCATTAAAAAAAAAAATGGCAGACAAATCAAAGTACAGCTTGGTAAAATTGTTATTTCCGTTTTCTATACACCAGCTAAATCCATGTTTTCAATCAATAAAAATCTAGAATTGGCATAAGTATCAAGTTTCGCCATCGATGAAGAAATATATAATATATGAAACAGGACACGCTACATAATTTATAAGGAACTAACGTTTCGGGACCAGAAATTATTATAAATTTCTCCAAAATTAATTTTTAAATATTCACAAGAACGTGTGTGTGTGTGTTTTATGCGAGACACACGTGATCTTGATATACTTTGTTTACAGTGTTATTATCTATTTTATTACCCGTCTTTATAAGTTTACAGTAGAGAACATCGAACGATTTAATGCTCTAAAGCATCTTCGGAAAAACAGGGATTGTAAAACAACACTTTATTCACAATACCCGAAGGCTTTGACTACGCATTTTGACCCGTTCGACACAAAATTACGAAATTTAATTTACAGTTACGTAATGTTACTTAACACAAGAAATGCAAACAGTTGCGGAATATAACAAAATAATAGAAATTAAAAACAGTTCAGATACTGTCGAAAGAATTCACTATCGCCTTTACTTTACTATACACAAATTGTGGAATTAACACAAAAAACAATTGAATAAACTACCAAACTTCAAAGTGTTTTAAGAATATGATGCGGAGTTAAAGGTCACAAAAGTGTCAAACACACCGAATCGCGTGGCGCGACGTCGTTAGCATTATCACAACTGCGCCAAAAAATTTTTTTAGCACCACAACTCCGTTAAATGAACGAAAATACATCGAAAAGACAATTAAAGGAGAAGCTACGAAATATGAAGTAAGCTGAACATAAACTAGACGTGTTTATCTTAACCGAGATACAGCAGTGAGCCATTTTTCTTTTTCTCCCCTATCCCAGCATCCCAATTTAGAAGAGGGGGAAGAGGAAGAGTAAACTTACCTGAGTGGCATCCGCCACTGAATCCTGGCGGAACACCCGATTCGTTACGAGTACGACCGACTACTAGCTCCACAGAAACCAAAGGTGCCGCGATCGAAGCGTGTCTATGACATCATCGATATAGTCACCGCTCGGTCGCGCCGCCAAACTCCAAGTGGCGTTCTACATCATTAAAAACATAAATTTTTATTCGTTTTATTCGGCAATAACAACACACGCAATTATATTCTGTAATACGATTAAATAGAATTTATTGCAAATTCTCAAAAAAAAAAAAAAAATTA